ACCTGATGGACCTGATGGCGCATCATGCCCTAATCATGCAGGCCTACGGCTGATCTTAGACTTCTAACCACTTCACCACTTCCTCCAAAAAGCAACTCTGTGCGACCAAGGCAGGTCCCTGCCTTACCCTGTCCTACGAGCAGCCTCGCATCACCCGCGCGAAGCGTACCCTGTCGACGAGCTGACGCTGGTGACGCTACCCGTTCCCGGCACTGAAATGCACTTCCGGCGGTCAGATCAGACAACGGAGAATCGTGGGCGAGAGACAACCGGACCGAGAAAAACAAGTGAAGCCAAACAACAGCCGGCCCATGACGTTTTCGCTCTAAAGGACCACCCTGCCTTAGTGGATCGTGTGAGACACCGAACAAGCCTGAGGCCGCTTGGCTCTGATGGACGCTAACCAGCCCGAAATTCCGCACCGCAGTTGGTCTGGCAAATGCTGTTCCCTGGGCTTCTTTTTCCAGAAACTCACTCTATCTTCCTAATACGATCTGCTCCGTGCTCTCCGTATTGCTCCAGCCAGCTAGCGTCCTTCCCACATTTCGCACTAAGTTGCTCCGGGCCATGGCAAACTATCCAATGTCCGCCTTCACCCAATGAGCGTCTCCTGATCTTCTACCAAATCGCGGCAAAGACGACCCGAAGTTGAAAGTCGCCAGCCCGTGTTCGCTATCACGATCATATCAGCAGATAGACATATCTGCCATATATATGTGGAGAGACAGCGGCGGCGTCCGAATTATATGAGGGTCTCGCTCCTCATGATCGGGGGGATTCAAAATGAGGATTGCCTTGAAGTGGGTCGGCGCTTAACTTCTTTTCTACTGTCGCCGACCTGGGTGTCTGCTACAGCATTGTCAAGAGGTCTGCCAAATAAGTAACAAGGGTAGGGCATCGGGAAAGCTTACAAGTACATCGAATGATCGACCCATCCGCCGGATTCTGACATCCATGCAGCAGTGTTAGGACTGGGCGACGGCAACTGCCATCTACCCAGTGCTAAGCGATATCAGTTGTGAATGTCCCTGGATAAGCAGCCTCAGGAGTTGCTTCCGGCTGTGCTCAGGGGCCCCTTGGTGGTACAGTAAAACGTGTCGCGGTGGTCCTGATCGTTCCTGCCACTCATGTCGCGGACATCATTGTCCAGTGAACCGGATCACTGGAGATCTCCTCGAAACTGTTGCTAATGATAAAGCCCAAGCCCTTTAGGCCGCTAATTGAAACATCTTCACGGGTCTATAGAGAGAGAAAGGGAGATCAGTTAGTCGCGTCCTCGGAGCCTGACGAGGGTTTCGCCACTTACATAATCCAGGAGCAGGGTCCGCAAGCCTTGTTTCTTGATCTGACGTATTCCCAATAGGACGAGGCCTTGGAAAAGCGAGACTCGATCGCTGTACATGGTCGAAATGACTGGGGACGACAAACACGCCGTTCCAACCTGTTTGTACAGCGACGGAACATGGCGGGCAATCCGAGACTCTGCTCGACACATCAAAATACTGCCTAGAATAGACTGGTCAGATGCCCGTTTAGCTCGAATGATGCCGCAGCCTTCTTTGTTGCTAAGGGCCATTTGGTAAATGCCTCGTACATCCGTCCGTGCGCATCTTGTGAGATGTTCCATCATCACTTCAGCGTACTCGGCCCCGTGAACCAGATCATATTTGACCTCAGGACTTGTCAGCGCCTGAGCTAGGCCTTCGGGAGCAATCCAGATTGACAAATCGCGAATTATCATGGTTGCCACGGGTGTCGAAAGCGAAACGTTCCACCCGAGTTTCGCAAACCACTGACGAAGGCGTTTGTATTCCACTGGATCCAGTTTAGGAATCCCCAGATACACATGCGGGAACCTCACACCAAGCTGAAACTTGGTAATGCCTTTCTTCTGGAGCAAAGCCCGGACAGCACGGTCGTGTAAAGAGTGCCCAATGGATAATCGTCGGCGCGCAGGGTCCACGATGATGGCACCGATATGCCCAACGCCGCTGTTCTTGAAATAATATGTGGTGCAGAATCCAAAAAGCTCTTTTGTGCTGCTGTTCCTGACTACAAAATGCGCCTCTTCCACATCTGGATCACGGAGGAGAAAAGTGCCGGTCACGGCGTTCTTCAGCGCTGCTGCATTCACCGCAGGCTCATTCTGGGATTGAATGAGGAGGGCGTCCAATGCTGCTGAGTCTCGCTCTTCGCTGAAGCTTTCCACAAGCCACTGCTGTCTGGTGTGGCTAGTCTGATGCTTCTGGCTAAATGAGCCCGGCAACACACCAGACGGGGTAAGCTCACCGTAAAGTACTTGGACCAGCGCCTGCATGGCAGTCTCGGTGAAATCATAGGTACAAACATATGTTCCAATCGACGTATCCGATGCAAAGTCGAAAGGGGAGCTGACGGCGACCACGACGCAAGGTTTTTCTCGCGGAGTGCCGTCCGCTCCCACCGACAACTTGCACAGCATGGATATGTGTTTTGCAAATGCATTTTGATACATGTTTCGACCCGCATCGGCAGTAATGACTATCACTGCCCGTGCTCGGTTCAACAGGTTTTCATGGAGAGGTCTCACTCCATTTGCGGTATATGAAGTGTGAGAGATTTTGCCATTGCGATATCGGGCGAGCGTCCGACCCAGTTCTCGGAAGACTTGCTCGCCACTCATGATCGACGTATTCGTATCGATACTCGGACTTCGCCCTAAATGAGGTACTGTTGACGCCTCATTTTGCAGGAGATGAAATAGTGCGGACGCCGGTAATGGTTTGACTAAGGGCGTTAACAGGAGGAGCTCTTCCTCGGATTTAATCACTCTCGACAACGGCAGATAGTTTTTCTGATCTCGAACCACGGTGATTGATTTGTTATAAGCTGTAGTTGACAGGCTTGTGTGAAGAGGCTGTAATCGTGAGAGATTCTCAATTCCTGCCGGCGCAAACGCCGTTTCCCAGGAGGTATATTTTTTCTTCATGTTGAGGATTCTCTGCACCGACTCTTGCACACGGAATCTTTCAATCATACCATTATCCAACCCAGCCGTTAGACCATTGATGGCGTCTTCTTGGACCGACAGAGTTCGGCAGGTCAGGATCAGGTCACAGCCGGCCTTGAAGGCCATAACTGTCCCACCACTGATGCCGATGTTGCGGCTGAGAGCCTCCATTTCCAGGCACTCTGAAACGACGACGCCCTCAAAGCGCATTTCGTGCCGCAACAGATCTCGGACAATCTGCTCCGAGAGACAGGCGTGCATGACGTTGACCTGAGAAGACGCCATGGCAACACCCCCAACCATCATCGCATCGACGCCGTGGGCAATCGCCGCACGAAAAGGAACCAAAGCACTTTGGCTCAGGTTCTCCAGCGAGTCTGTAATGGTAGGCACATCGTCTGGGACGCCAAAGAATTCGAGATTGCCGTAAGAGGGGAAATGTTTGCCGCAGGTCGCAACGCCGCCTTCTTGGTAACCTTTGATGCATTCAACGCCATATGCTGAGACTTCATGGGGGTCATCGCCTACGGATCGAACACCAAGAGGCTGGTTTCTGGCATTGGTCAGGACATCCAGCACCGGTCCCAGGATCCAGTTGATACCACACGAGTTCAATTCTTGAGCGGTGGCTCTGGCAATGTCCTTTGCCAATTTCTTGGATCCGGTAGCAGCCAAGCCCATGGCACTAGGGAACTGACGAATATAGACCTCATCGTACAGGCTGTTGACACCACCGTTTTCCTGGTCGAGAGCAATCAAGAGGGGAACTGGATGACCAGCCTGGCGAGCAAGAGTCTGGAGATCCAGCACAAGCTGGGTCGCCTGTTCGGCAGCTGTTGGAATGTCATGTCAGTGACCCAATAGAAAAGCCAGCAAGAGCACAGAGGAGAACAGGAGACGGCACATTTGAGGTTTTGGGCCTTGAGCAGTATGGAGCCAACGTGGTACTTCTCAATCAAGACCTTGACCTGGTCAGTGACGGATGTACCATCAAAGCCCATCATAAACAACTGGCCCAGCTGTCTACCAGATATATAGTTAGCTATGGTGCGTCTTACGGGTTGAGGATGACGCCAGAGCATACCTCGATTCGTCCCACACGGCGGGCACGTCCCCGTTGGTGGTGGCCACGGCCATGATGAGATGAAGCGACTAGTTCCCCACATGCACCGTGATTGGATGGAGAGGTGAGCAGGATTAGGCTGGGCAGACCGGACAAGAGAGGAAATGGAGCAGGAGGAGAGTTCGGATTCGGGGCAGGAATCGGTTCAGGAGGAGCATGGACCTGGGCCAGTGAAGAGCCGCGGATGGCGAGTTGCGCGTGGCATCAGAGAAGCTGTGAGTGAAGCAACGCGAAACGTGGGAGCGGACAAACAAGCTGATGTTGCATTTTGGAGGAGAAAGTGTCGCAACGTAGTGTTGGTAGTGTCGGGAGGAGAATGTAATGGTGGGAGAGAGGGCACCGAGATGGCACCTTTGCACCGAAGAGACCGTTACACTGGGACGAGTCACGTGCGAGGGTGAGACAATGTTTGCCTTGTTTGCTTCCCACTTCTCAATCCCTCCCACCCTATCACTCTCCTCCTCCTTCCTGTTGGCTGTGCTCGTTGTCCTATCTCGCTGACTTCATCGGCTGCTTCCTGCCTGTCCCGCTGATACCGTGTCCAGTCTTCCCAGCGCCAGCACTCCGGACGTCTGCCGAGTGTGGGTGCTCCATCGGTTGGATGACAGTATTGCAACTGTTGCAGCACCAGGAGTCTGTTCCTCCGCTGCCTTCTGTAAAATTCTCTTCTGTGCCACCAAGTGCCCTACTCTCCGCATTCTGGCCCCTACATATGTAATCCTCTCATGATGGCCTGGCAGTGGCTGATGGTTCTGCTACGGGCTACGTCAACGGTTTGTTGCTGATCTATTTTACTCTCATCCCCCCGCCTCCGCAATTGACGTGCCGTGACCAACCTCTCCCAGCTCGTTGCCCTCTCGCGGACTTTGGAGAAAGCTCATACTCACAATGAAGGTCATCATCCGCGACGACAAAGATAGTGCCTCCAAGTACGCCGCCCGATATATCATCCATCGCATCAATGCCTCCGCGCCGACCCCCCAAAGGCCCTTTGTTCTGGGACTACCCACGGGCAGTAGCCCCGAGATCATCTACAAATACTTAGTGGAAGCGCACAAGGCTGGTGAGGTGTCATTCGCCAATGTCGTGACTTTCAACATGGACGAATACGTGGGCTTGCCCGAAGAGCATCCCGAATCCTACCACAGTTTCATGTACAAGCACTTTTTCGCCCACGTCGATATCAATCCTGAGAACGTCAATATTCTTGACGGGAATGCCCCTGACCTCCGAGCCGAATGTGCCGCCTATGAAGAAAAGATTGCCCGTGCCGGCGGAATCGACCTTTTCTTGGGTGGCATTGGACCAGATGGACACATTGCATTCAACGAGCCTGGTTCTTCATTACGGTCAAGAACCAGGGTCAAGACGTTGGCAGAAGATACAATCCGGGCCAATTCACGGTTCTTTGGCGGCGATCTCAGCCAAGTTCCCAAACAAGCATTGACGGTGGGTGTGGGCACAGTGATGGACGCTCGGGAGGTGCTAGTCATCGTCCTAGGCTCTAACAAGGCGGTCGCTCTGGCCAAAACCATCGAGGGGGGCGTCAGTCAAATGTGGACCTGCAGCGCACTGCAGATGCACGAAAATGCCATGATTGTGTGTGACGACGCCGCCACAGACGAAATGCTCGTGAAAACAGTCAAGGTAAGCACGCGTCCAACACAGGTTTCTTTTTCTAGAGCATACCCACTAATCTGCTGTTGTTCTCCGCAGTATTTCAAGAGCATCGAACAAGTCTCAGCAGAACAGGAGACCGCCAAAGCCACCCCTCAGCGGTCGCAGGTCCGGTTGGACAACTGGCGCGCGGGCCTGAAGGAGCTGAGAATCGATACGGAGAAGAAGGACCTACTGGATCAAGAGGATGGAGAATTGACACCGGACAGCATGTCGTCAAGGCTGGTGGACTCGGCGATTGCCATGAACGACAAGAAGATGGACGATTTCATGTTCGACCGTATGGGCTCCCGTGTTTCGACCTTTGCGGCCTAAAACGAATGGATGGATTGGATTTTATTAGGGTTTCGAAAATCAGGAGATTTGCAAGTCTTTGCAGCACCACTGCTTGGTCCAGAGACGGTGATGGCGGTGGTAACGGTTGATGCTCTACGAAAGAATTTTCTCTCGCTTTTGGTCTAACCATGTTAGGTCCTAGTTACAGTACTTTAGTAGGCGATGGTGGTTTTGGTTGGGGGTTTGCATTGGTTCAGCAAGCGAGATCCAGGGATAAAAATTCCTTCTCGGCACTGGTGCGGAGGAAGTGCTGTATGGGATACTATTTGAGATTATTTTTTGAAGCAGGCAAACAAAGCGATGCGCTATCAAACATCCCCGCTCCCAGAACATTAAAGGGTTGTGTAGAGCTAGTGTGTCGTTATAATTTCGCAAACACAGTCGGGACATTCCCTCCCATTTCCACCAGCGTACTCTTATTCCGCACCCAGGCCTCCAGGCCTCTCCGTCCATTCTCGACGCCGACACCGCTCTGCTTCCACCCACCGACGGCCATCTCGGCCGGGGACTCGCCCCAGGTATTGATCCAGGTGATGCCGGCTTGCAGCTGCCTGATGACGTGGTGGCACTGGTTGATATCCCTGCCGAAGACGCCGGCGGCGAGGCCCAGGGCCGTGCCATTTGCGCGCGCGACGGCCTCGTCGACAGAGTCGTAGGTCAGGATGGCCATGACGGGGCCGAAGATCTCCTCCCGTACGATCCTCATGTCGTCAGTGCAGTCGGAGAAGACGGTCGGTTGAACCCAGTATCCACTCCTCAGATGCGCGGGCAGGTCTGCGGGTTGGTTGAGGCCGCCATGGAGCAGCCTCGCCTTGTCGACCTCGATGCCGTGCTTGATGTACCCCGTCACTTTGTCGTAGTGGACCTTGCTGACCAGCGGGCCGAAGTTGGTGTTCATGTCCATCAGCTCGCCGGGGCGGATGTATTTCATCTTCTGCAGCAACACCCTCTCAAAGTCGGGCTTCAGGTGCTTGGGCACGAACACTCGTGTCCCGTTCGTGCAGACCTGGCCCGTGCTGAAGAAGTTGGCCATGATGGCTCCATCCACCGCCTGGTCAATGTCTACGTCCGGTAGCACGACCACGGGGCTCTTGCCTCCCAGTTCCATGGTCACGTACTTCATCTCTCCCGCGGCTGAGCCTGCAACCTTGCGACCTGTTGAGACTTGGCCGGTAAAACTGACCTTGGCGACGACCGGATGTTTCGTCAGGTAGGCACCCACCTCGCCGGGCCCGTAGACGACGTTGAATGCTCCGTCGGGGAGGCCAGCCTCTTTGTAGATCTCGGCGAGGAATTGCCCATGAAGCGGTGTCACCTCCGAGGGCTTGTATACCATCGTGTTTCCTGCGGCGAGGCAGGGAGCAGATTTCCAGAGCGCGATCTGAATGGGGTAGTTCCAGGCACCGATGCCCACACAGACGCCGAGCGGTTCCTTGGAGGTGTACACCCAAGCCGAATCGCGGAGTCGAAATGATTCACCATTCAAGCCGCCCGATGCGACTAGGTTGGCGAAATACTCGAGGACATCGGCGCCGGTCACAATGTCGACGGTGGAGGTCTCTGAGAAGGGCTTGCCGGTGTCTGTCGTTTCAATTCTAGCGAGCTCATCGTTCCGCGATCGAAGTATCGAGACGGCTTTGTGCAGTATTCTGGCTCGCTCAATGGGTGGTGTGCTGGACCACGAGGGGAAGGCAGCCTTTGCTGACGAGACGGCTGAGTCGATGGCGGACTGGGAGGATGTGTGGACTGTACAGACAGTTTTGCCTGTTGAGGGATCGACTGAAGGGAATGTGCTGGATGAGGAGGAGGACGGTTGAGGTTTTCCGGCGTAGAAGGAATGGCGCTCTGGGAGCATCATGATGGAGGAGGTGACGATGAGGTCTTGTGGAGGAGTTGATGTGTGAAAAGGTAGGAAGGTGTCGGTCTGGATTCTGTCTGTCTGTCTGTCTTTCTGTCTGTCTTTCTGTCTGTCTGTCTGTCTGTTTGTTTGTTTGTTTGTTTGTTGCCCACCGTCTCGTCTTAACTGAGGCCAGTCTTCTGTTTTTTTTTGGTACTTACTCCGCATGCATGTCCCCTGCAGCAGCTGCGTGCAAGGTGCGAGGCGGGCTAGTGCGGGGCAGCAATTAACGCACCCTTAACCAGCCTAATACTACCTCGTACTGTTCCGCCATATCCGCTATCACCAATACCATCACTATCACCATCACCGGATGCTTTGGCTGCTTTCCCGGCTCTTGGAGGGGCTTCTAGGTAGCTTCCACCCATCGCTTACTCGTCGCCCGTGATTCTTTCCCCCTTGCAGGCATCGATTTTCAACTCATCATTCCTCCCAGCGAATAACCCTCCGAGTCCCTCTTGATAGAGTGAGTGATAACCTTTCGCTATCTAATAGTACGGCACAAAGGTAGGTCCTCGAGAGGGTGTCCTCTATCAGCTTCTTTACCTTTTCAGGCAACATCAACCGCGCTCGCCTTCAGTATTGAATTTTTTTTTTGCCTCCACTCAGCCCTCTGGTTGCTTTCTGTTCACCGCCACCAGCCGACAGGCTGCATTTCCCATTTTGCTTCTGTGCCCCGACACCAGGGATCCGGTCCACACGTTGTAGTTGCTTCGCCCTGCGTCAAGTTGCAGGGCGCTCCCCAATCGCCGGACTGGCCAACCAGGGTTGACAAGGTTGGGAACATCCTCATCCTCGAAGCCCAGCAGCCATGACAGTGGACTGATACCATACCGACACGACCAAGTGACCAAGTACTTGTTACGCAATAGATTATGCGGGTCGCGGATTCCCCCAGGATATTTTTTCAATTGTCCATCGATCTGGTCCTGGTGACTTAAAATACCTGGACGTCTATTCCTACGCCGTCGACTGTCACCATCCTTCACCACTGATTTGTCCCAAGGACCCAATATGACGACCAATCATTTAGACGCTTCCGAAGTTGGTAGCTATGACTATCTCATTGTGGGAGGTGGTACAGCAGTAAGTGCGTGGTCAAAAGGAACGAGCAGGATGCTAAAGGCCTGTTACCTGATAGGGCTGTGTGATTGCATCCCGCCTGGCCGAATACCTCCCTCAGAAAAAGATCCTGTTGATAGAGGCCGGCCCCAGCGATTTTATGGATGACCGCGTCCTGGATCTCAAGCAATGGCTCAGCCTTCTTGGTGGAGAACTCGACTATGACTATGGCACCACCGAGCAACCAATGGGTATGTCGGCGTTTGATCTTCTTTCGACGAACCCGACTTTTCGCCAGGACTGACGGCCCAACTCTCAGGCAATTCTCACATCAGGCATTCTCGTGCCAAAGTCTTGGGCGGTTGTTCCAGTCACAACACGCTCATCTCCTTCCGGCCCTTTGAATATGACTGCAAGATCTGGGAGTCCATGGGCGCCAAAGGCTGGACCTTCCCTATGTTCATGCGCGTGTTGAACAAGCTTCGAAACACAGTCCAACCGGTCCATGCCCGCCACCGAAACCAGTTGTGCAAAGACTGGGTCCAGTCCTGCAGTACCGCCATGAACATCCCAATCGTACACGATTTCAATGCACACATCGCCGCGACTGGCTCGCTGAGAGAGTGTGTGGGCTTTTTTTCTGTCAGCTATAATCCAGATGATGGTCGGAGATCCAGTGCCAGTGTGGCCTACATCCATCCAATCCTCCGCGGCGAGGAACACAGACCGAACCTCAAGATTCTGACCAACGCCTGGGTCTCCCGGATCAATGTTCGCGACGATACAGTGACAGGCGTCGACATCACACTCCAGTCAGGCCAAAAATTATCTCTCACGGCACGGACTGAGACCATCCTCTGCGCTGGCGCCATCGACACGCCCCGTCTCATGCTTCTCTCCGGTCTGGGTCCGGCACAAGAACTCTCCTCTCTCTCCATTCCCGTGGTGAAGAACATCCCCGGCGTAGGGGAAAATCTGCTCGACCACCCGGAAACGATCATCATTTGGGAGCTCAACCAACCCGTCCCACCAAATCAGACGACCATGGACTCCGATGCCGGCATCTTTCTGCGGCGTGAAGTTCCCAACGCGGCAGGAACGAAGTCCACACCTACCAACCCAGCCGCGCTTCCAGATGGAAGCATCGCAGACGTAATGATGCACTGCTATCAGATTCCGTTCTGCTTGAACACGACGAGATTGGGGTATGACACTCCGATCAATGCGTTTTGCATGACTCCAAACATCCCTCGGCCTCGATCTCGAGGGAAACTATACCTCACTTCCTCCGACCCAAACGTCAAGCCAGCGCTAGATTTCCGCTACTTCACAGACCCCGAGGGCTACGACGCTGCCACCTTCGTCTTTGGGCTCAAAGCTGCGCGCCGGATTGCTCAGCAATCTCCATTCAAAGAATGGATCAAGCGTGAAGTGGCCCCCGGGCCGCAAATCCAGTCGGACGAAGCGTTGTCCGAGTATGCGAGAAAAGTCGCCCATACAGTCTACCATCCCGCGGGCACCACCAAGATTGGAGACGTGGACAAAGACGAAATGGCAGTGGTTGATGAGAATCTGAAGGTGAGGGGACTCAAAGGATTGAGAATCGCGGATGCGGGCGTGTTCCCGGCCATGACGACCATCAATCCGATGTTGACAGTGCTAGGCGTTGGGGAGAGATGTGCGGAGTTGGTTGCTATGGAGGCAGGCTGGAAGTTGAATGAGGTGGAAAAGAGTGGACAGGGTTGGGCAAATGACAAGAGTCTCAGACCCAGACTGTAAGTTGCGGGGAGGGAGAAAGGGGCAAGCAGTGTCGATGGAAGCAAGTCTCTTGATTCGGCCGGGGGCATGAGACATGATATGATAGCAAAGTATGAAATTCATTCATGACAGCTGTGGATGGGTGCTGTTCTGATGCTGGGATGTCTGGAGCCACAGTTTTGGTGGAATCCACGAGACCCCGGCCAAAGAGTGTGAACATCATCATGATGATAATGATTGAAGATGAGAAATACCACGCCGTTGCCCAACGAGGCGAAGCGAACAAGGAGGCTGTAGCGGTGCGTGTAGGCCGACGACAACTATTTGAATGTATGGAAACCCGACCAGGGCTCCTGGACTGAGAGGCACAACAATAAATTCAGGTTAGGTTAGTTAGATACAAAGGGCAGTGCAACATACCACACAGTGTCGCACGCCCAGACCCAAATGCAACATGACTTACATACTGCCTACTTACTCCCCTGGCTTAATCCTTCCGACCTTCAAGCTCTTGTCACGGTACATACGTATTCGCGGGACTGACAGGGTCGGGGTCGGGAGATTAAGGCTCGGCAGGGGAGACACGGAGCAGGACATGCCTATGCTCCATATACAGAGAGTTATATAGGTAGGGAGGCGAGAAGGGAATCTCGGATGTTCAGGAACTTCGACAGTGAATGGCCTGGCATTTACATGCATGCTCGCACGCATCGAAGGTCGAAATCGAAAGCAAATACCAGACAACCTCGGTGTTCCGTGCACCTGCTCTGCTGCGCCGCGCTGCCTTTGCTCTGGAACACTAGATAGCCCCCTCTCCCCGACCGTGCCGTGTCGTGCCCATTTGAGTCCAGGACTGGATGACAATCACCGCCATGACAGCGCTGGAAATCAGGCCCTTGGGCTGGTAGCGATGAGCTCGACTCTGTCAAGTCAGTCACCCACGCTGACCCCAGCCTTGTCCGCGTCCTTCGGCTCTGTTTTTTGTGGCTCCATTCCTTCTGCTGCCTCGTTCCCGCCTTTGTCGGAGCTCGACACGTCGGTGGCTTTGCTTTCCACCATCTCAACAGCATCATCCCCGTCATCGTCCTCCTCTGGAATACTCAACTTCTTTTCCAGCGCTCTAATCTCCTCCGGTGTCGCTTCACCAATGTCACTCCCGCGATGCTGCCTGCGTGGCGCTGCCTGCTGGGGTAAACTTGTAGAAGATCCGACATTGATTTCATTCTTGGGCACCGCGATCGAAGACTGTGATGCAGTCGATGTGTCTGGCTGCTCTGCTAGAACCTTATCGCTCTCTTCTATTGGTGTAACGTCACTTAGCCTCGACTTCGACTTTGTGATGCTACTCGATCGTCGTATTTCGAGAATTTGTTCTTCTTTTGACGACGCCGCCTCTTCTCCGCCGCCTGCAATCAGTTTATCTCTTGACTCGGCGATTTTGTCGACAGATGTTCTTGCTGCGCCCTCCGAGGCAAGTTGAGCTGGCGTTTTGGCGGCCGTGACCTCCTTGGCCGTGTCGGCCGACTCCGCCGCCGCCTCCGTGCTCAATCTTTCAGCTGTGGCCGTGGGCACTTGGTCTGTAGTGCTCTGTCCCTTGGTGGGAACTGCTGCGGCTTTGGCAGGCTGGGCAGTAGCGCCTTTCTTTTGGGTTGCTTTGGCTGCGGCTTCCGCGCCCAACTGCCGAATGGCCATGTTCATGTGAGATTCGGCCGACTTCTGTGATAAAGCTGGCTTTGCATCTCCGGCTGCAGTATGCTTTTCCTTCTCTGTCGGTTCCGCAATAGATATGTGGCGGGTTTCGGACGAGGCGCGAGAGGGAGGGCCGGATGAAGAAGCACTCGTTGCCGGAACTTGTGGAGCCAGATTCGTGGTGGTGGCCAGGCCGCCAAAATCCTGAGTTGCAGCAATTTGCTCTTTGAGCTCGCCATACTCATTCCACTCCTCGATTTGCTCGAGATCCTGAAGATATTGATTAGCGGTTATGGGTGTCAGAATCGGGCCGACTACAACATACGCCGATAATTTCTCCATATTTGACCAGGCCCGGCAGCTTTCTTCCCTTGGATCTCCTGCCCCATAGCATACGGGCCTTCTCATCCGTTGCACAATCTAGTGCTCGAAAGGGGATCTTGTTGGCCTTGAGGATGGTTTCCAGCCTTGAAGTCGCGGTAATGATGTGAGAGGATCCGGCTGTGAGGGAGGTATAGAGGTAGAGCGTCGGGTCGGTGGAGTAGGATGTAGCCGCCATGATGGTCGGTATTGGCGGGATGAGGGAGATATCGGACAGGAAGGAAAGACAGTCGTAACTTTGCTCGCAATCGAGGCGAAATCCCTAAGTACTGAAATGAAAGTGGGCAGCGGCTGAGGGACTTATCCTGTGGTCTTGTGATAAGACGAGAAGAGCAATTGTCAGGAAGAGCTGACAATGACACGAGGGGCACAGACGTGAACTGACCGACAAGAGGGGAGGATCAAAAAACAATAGTGCACAGAACACACATATCAAAGAGATCTGGCAAACGACATGGAGAATGGCGCGTCTAGGTGTACCTTGTAAGTGGCTGCTGGTCAAGTCACTTGGATCAATTCCACAGGGTTAGGTCTGCCTCTACGCAGATCAATTGCTCCGCCGGCAGGACGGGGAACTTGGAAGGTTGGTGGTGGTGATGTCATCTGTGCCAAGCCTTCAAATGACGCACTTTTAAATGACGGTCCTTCAAATGACGAGACATAGGACCCTCGGTACCTATCGAGCTATGTCATTGCTCTCACCTTGCCCGTTCTCCCCCATTTCAATGCTCAAGCCCGCAGCCTTGGTTCAGTGTTGTCGAACAGCCCTTCTGGATCCCATTTGTTTTTCAAGTCCATCACGAATTGATGGTCCTCGCCAAACAACCGGCTGATCTCCGTGTCCCGAGTCTGCGTCAGCGACGCATACGAGACTCCCAGCGCGTCGCCCGTGCCTTGCAATGCCTCATACAACTCCCGATACCGCTGGGTGGACGCTTCGACATTGGCCGGATCGATCGTGATGCCAACTATTTCCATCACAGAGTGAGCGAGGCGCGCTCCAAAGCAAGATCCCGGGTCTGGCTCCGCCGAAGAGCCTCGCATTTCATGGATCAACACCACATTGGCCGAGTCCACAGGTTTTTTCGACAGGAAATCTCCCACCACATCGGCTGTCCGCTCCGTGATTTTTGCAAAACTCACGGCGTTGCATGCCTCCCGCCCATACACTCTGCCTGGGGTCCACGACACAATGAGATTAATCAGTTCGGTCGGGGTCATCTCCCTCACCATCGATGTATCCGCCCCGTCCGCCAACGCGGCTAGTTGCTCCAGATACTGCCTCCCAGCTTCCGTGTCTGGAGAACTCCAAGCAAAGTTGACTGCGAACATCCACCCTGACATGTCCCGTTTAGGGTACCAGAAGGGCGATACTCCTCCATAGGGAGATTTGGCCATGGCGTTGTAACCGGAGAAGTATTTGCGGACAGTCGCCCGTATCTTTGATGTGTGGAACAAGATGGTACCCGCCAGGAACTTTGCACACTGTCAGGATTGAACTTCCTCAACAAAGAAACTATGACACTTGCCTTTTCGAGAGGATAAATCTTAATCCCCAGCTCCACCACAATGCCGAAATTACCACCAGCTCCTCGGATACCTTTCAGCAGTTCATCATCCGCTTCGATAATGTCGCCTTGCCAGGTCACCACACGAGCTCTCAGAATTTGGTCCACTCCCAAACCAAACCTTGACGCCAACCAGCCGTATCCACCCATCATGGCCCACCCAGCATACCCAATGGTTGGCATATATCCAAATGGGGTGGTGAACTTTTGAGAGGTCAACGTCTCGATAACGTCTCCGATCAGAACTCCACCTCCGATGGTGGCCGTCTGACGATCTTGAGCAATCTTGATCGTCTTCACGCGCCGCATGTCGATCACTAGACATCCGTCTCCAATGCTGCGTCCGAAGACATCGTGGCCTCCACCCCTGACGCTGATCTTTACTCCATGACTGCGTGCGGCATGCACAAAAATCGACACCTCTGAGGCGTCCCTCGGTCGGGCGATGGCAAGAGGCTTTGCTGGGTTGTCGATGAGGTAGCTGGCACGGATGTCGGCCCAGTCCGTGGATGACGCGGTGAGAACCTCAAGATCAGGCCGCTTGAGGAGGTCTGCAACTAAAGGATGTAATTCCTTCAGGGAACCCATGGTATGCAAATCGTTCAGACTGCAGCCCAGCTTCTGTCAATGCGGCCTTGCCACTGGGAAGGGGAGTTCAACCAAAAGTGCCCGAAGTTTGCGAAATTCCCATTTCCATTCAATTCGAAGGTAGGTGCCCACAATTTATGTCCTACTGCAGCCAACGCCTTCACCCTCGTTTACAGGACATCTGCCGAATCTGGTATCCAAGTTGGTAACTCTGGCTCTTCGTCAGCTTACAAAATGTGATGATCTAGGCGGCCATGGCAAAGGAACATTACTGGAGTCCCCCGTTACGCCCGGGGCAATCGCAAAAGGTCTTCCAACGGACTTAACAATATGCTGACGACGGTCGGGATACACTGTGCTGCCTCTCTCGGTTACGCCAAATTGTAATCTACCGACCATGGAGTCTATTGAGCAGGGAACGTTCGTCAGCATGTCCAGGTGTTTTGGCTCGATCTTGCTTGGTGTGGCCCCTCGACACAGTAGCAAACACGGGCTACGGGGAGCCTTGGACCTTCCGTAACCCAAAAAGGGAAAATGCGCTGCTGTAGCAACCTTTCGAGCTCTGTGCTTTCGGCGACCACCTTGTTGATCTTTCAGCAGAGCAGTGGTCGCGGTTATATCGGCTACAACAGCTTCGGGTGCTGCACATACATGCAATATCTGAAGGAGCCCGGACGAGAGACAAGGCTATGAATCCGCATAAGTTAGGTATAATTTGGTGCTCCCACTTTAGCTGAGATTCACAGGACCTTGAGTTACGTAATTGATTACAATGGTTTAGGGTGGCTAGGTGCATGTGGAATGACCTTTCTTTACCCTGAACCGGATGGAGGGACTCAATGCCCCCAGGCTGTATCATATCAGCACGATGAAACTCAAAAGGCAGTCTTCCCATTCATGCCTGTTATTGAAGAGACCCTCTCCTGCGAGTCCTGGAACTACTTGCCATGTTTGCTACAGATCTCACCAGGTAACGTTTTTTCTGATGGAACTTTATGTTGCCGAGGCGTCCTATGTGGATTTCTGACCATGGATTTGACTTAGCGCCGAGGTTATATGAATTCCGATACACAGCATCTGTTTTCAAGGAAGCTGGGGATCACTCTACATCAGCGGAAGTCCTGGTGAGACACCCCTTGGCGTGTGATTCCTGTATGGGAATGCGCAACTTCCGAGGCCTTCAAGGTGAGCTGATGATCTCACTTATCGCTCGCAAATCCCTCATGACTGCTGCCTTGTCGAGATGTTCGCCACTACGACGGTTTCGGAACAGTCCAGGATGATCCAAGAGCAAGTCTTCATGGTACCATACCAAGCTGCTCTACGGTAGCCCCCAGAAATGGCGACGACGCGCTGATTCCAAGGGAGACAGGACTTTACACTGGCTACAAGATGGTGAAGAAAACCCGATGGGTGGAAAAAATCTAATGTCTTCGATTCAGACCATCTCGATGCCAATAGGCAAGAATTTGTTCTGTTGCTCAGATGTTCTCCCTGACCCTTCGGTCTGCTCCAGCGTCGCCTCAAATATGTTCAATCCTCACTCATGTTCTTCCGGTGTATTTTGCTGAGCCACTACGTCCTGGACTAGGACCCTTCCTTGTGCGGCTGGCGACCTCATTCAATATATGGGTATGAAAGCGTCAATAGGCGACCTAAAATGCTCAGTTGCCAAAGAACGGTTTTCCTTTATCCTCGGTTATAGAGATAGATGTTTCAAATCTACGGTTTCTAGCTTTTGATCCTCATTACCGGTACTCTGATCCGCCATCTCATGTCTCTCAGATGCAAGACGCAAAGCTGTCACTCGGCGATTTGGGCGAATTCCTTCTTTTTCTGACACTGAATCGCCACATTCATGATACTATGGATATAGTTCCGGTGGAAAAAATAAGGTTGGTTAAACCGCACCCCTATATCAAGTCGAAGATGGAATGATCCTTAAATCACTTCATCCAAACATAATTAAAGCGGGAATCATACAAGCTTGTGGTCGATGAAAAAAATACTCGAGAGGTTGTGAGACCATCTGCGGATAGTGAAGTATGTTCATATCCATCCAAAGGGAGCAACATTCAATCGTAATTACTCCGAGATATCGAGGGTTTCGAATCGTCTGCTCCTTCAAGGTCTACTGGTTGTCGAGGCGGACCACGGCAATTGCGGGACTAAGTCGACCGAAATAATGGTTCAATATGCCTCGCAACTCAGAAGAAATGGTGCATCCAGCTGAACGAAGCTATTCAGCACCTCCACAGTAAGGGCGTGATTCGCTCAGATCTCCGTCCCGAAAACTGTCTCCTTTACAGATCCAGGCTGTCTCCAGACATAGTCGAGCACTGGCCTTACGAATCGGGGCATCCAGCCCAAGAAGAAGATAAGTGGCAATACGAAGAGAGTCATGGATTTGCTGAAGGAACAAAGACACCCAGACATGCAAACTCTGACTGGCGGCAAGGTGATAATATAGAGCTGGAAAAAGGAACATGTCGCGGCCAAGGATGTTCTGCCAGCGCTGAAGATCGAAATGTGCGATGGAGGTCACCTTGGTCAGCCTAGGATTCGGAAGAGAGCCTCGTCCTCGGACTAATTATTGCAACATCAACCGTTATGCCATGGTGGAAAAGATTTTTGCTGGACTTGGAAATTGACATGGCCGTTGCCCATGATTGGGAATATCTCGCCATCTTCGGGTGTCGCACCAAATTATGTAACAATCCAGTGTTCTATTCCTTTTCTCAAACACCTTTGTACCACGGCCACAACCTTCACCATTACTGCTCCTACATTAAAGCATTGCAAAATGGCAGAAACCACGGAGCTGCGTCTTTGCCCACCTGATGGTTCCAGGAGCTCCAGAGGGCACAGCTTGGTCAGAATCATTGGTCGATATACCTCGTTGCGAAGGAGGGTGGATCGATGCGGCTCAACATGGAACCAAATACCTCTCTTGGCACAGATCAAGGCACCGTCAGAGTACCCAGTAACCCGGCATCAGTACGACTTGACGACCAGTCAGGTCCGACATTGGGAAGATCGATTGTGAGTGGCTGAGGAACTACTCCCCAAACTGGTAGGCCAACATTTTCTTGCAAAGGAATAGTAATCAGAAGAAAGAACATTTGGTCCGGGGGCTTTTCAGTGATATAAAACACAGAGTCCTTCTCTTTGGCCTACTTTCGCTCTCACCCACCCACAATAATGACAATTCATTTCTCGTCCCCGAGAGCCTCGAGAAATCCCCTTTTTTTTTCTGGTGGAGAAGCGGGACGGAAGTTCCAGGGCTCGGGGAATCGATGAAGGCCGACAGACGGGGAGAAGGGAACAATATCGAGACTATTTAAAATACCTGCGCCAGCTTGAATGGAGGAATGGAAAAAGCGGCGTCTGACGTGGGAATGACACGACAGAACGCGAGACATCTTGGACATGCATGAGGGACAAGGGAATATCTTGTCGTCAGACACAATTCTTTGGCGATGCCCGTTCCCCTAGCCTCGCCAGCCAGCGAGCCAGGTAAGCGCTGGTGTCCCGGTGTCAGCTAACTATTACCCATTCCCCATTCCAAATCATTTCGTTTCGAAGCTCCGAAAGCCCCTCTCTCTAGGTACCCGGTACTTCCAGGGGCCGTTTTTCTAGAAGGTCTAGGCTCATCACCTTCATCCTGATTTCCGGCAGGCCAAAAATTCTCGCATGACGTCCGCCAACAGCCTTTGTTGGGAATACAGAGACAGCCACCCCAGCTCCGCCATGGGCACGCTTGTTGCACAGACTCGCTCGGAGGAGCTTATCAGCAGAAGGAGCAATGGCATCCGAGGAGAACAGCCAACGAGCTCCTATTTACTCGCTATAGTTATGCATGGTAAGCAAGTCGCGGAAAGAATGGGAACTGCTAGCAACGACGATGCATCTATTAACGATCTGGCTCAATCCGCAGTGGGAAGTTGAAGACATGCTGGAACGAGCCTTGAGGTCGACGATGCTACCGGCCCCTATCTGTCGATGGCTGTTGGAGTCTGCTGGCTGAGCTACAGCAAATGCCCAGTCGGGTTGAAGAAGAGACTGAAAGTCGCTCCCTCGGAGACGTTTCGAACTGCCAACGGCCGCGGGGGAAAGTGATCAACGTCTCAATTGCTCTTCGTATGCGGGCGGCATCAGTCACCACTTCCCGTGCCCCTCCATTTCTGACGTGTACAGAGGAGCAAGGAGGAGGCAAGGATCAATCGGCGGGTCGAGTGCAATAGCCAAATGCAGCAGGGGACTCGCAGTGGGCCCTCCACTCGCCAGAGCATTCCAAATACTCGGTCCCTATTCCAAAAGCACCCTATCTTGACCTCATTTTTGAACTTGGACGCTGTCAAGATGTAAATATAAGAGGTGACGGGCCGTTGACGTTTCATCTCCCCCTCGTCCATCATTTCAAACCAAAAGCACAAGATCAGCATCATCAGCGCCTCCATCTCTTCAGAAGTTCCCACAACTCGCACCCTCGATCCACATCCGTCCCAACCAACCATGCCTGAATACAAGGGAGTCTGCCACTGCGGCGCCACCGAATGGACCGTCGAGATCCCCGAAGAGAAGCACATCCTCTGCCACTGCGGCGCCTGCAAGTTGATGGGCGGCGGCGAGTTCACCCTGAACCAGATCATCCCAAAGTCCAACTTCCACCTGACCAAGGGGGATCTCAAGGTCTACTCCTACAAGGGAGATTCTGGTACGTTGTTTTTCCCTGGTTCCCAAAGGCCACCGGCCGGTTTGGACAGTTGGGGTGGGACGAAGGCTTGAAGGATTCCCAGTGCTTCTGGATCTATTATCGCTAACCCTCACATCAACAGGCAATTCTGTTGATTGTTTCATGTGCCCCAACTGCGCGTCCTCGCCGTATCACCACCAGCACGTCATGGGTAAGTCACACATTCACCGCTTGTCATGTCATGTCTTGTCTGGACCGGGCTCGCCCGGCCATCCCACTGTCTGCCTACCTATGTGTCCATCCC